CCCAAAATTACTTCAACGGAAGGTTTCCAGATGGATATGCGGAGCAAATCCATCTGGCGGAGTCAGGTTAGCACACTCTAACACCTGAGTAGAATTTAGAGAAGCCAATTAACCAGTCATGTTTTTGGACTGTGGGAGGAAGCTGGGGTACCTGGAGAGAACCAACGTATGTTAAGGGAGAACATGCAAACTCCGTGCTGAAAGACCCCGGGCCAGGAATCGAACCTGGAAACTTCTTGCTGCAAGGCAGCAGTGCTACCCACTGCCTCACTGTGCAGCCTGTAGGTCTCCAAAGGTGAATTATGCAAATATTAGCAAGGATTTTGACAAAGGCGCCAGAGAAAAATCCTCCTCAAATATGTCTAAAGAGCACAAACGCTTTTCATAATTATTTCTTTAATTATTTTCTTCATTATAAAGCCTAAACATATAACTATTTCTAGCACTAAATATTTTCTCTGTTCTTAGATCTGAAAAAAACTTTTTTTAAGTTTAGTCTGTAAACACTGGACAAATTTGACGTTTTGGTCCTGCACTGTAAAATGCGTAAAGAAGTCTTTAAAGTGTTAAGTCATTAAAAGTTGGGGAAGATTTAATTAGTGAAAAAGAAGATGTAAGCCAACCTGACGTAATCTCTAAAATATCTACAGCAAGCTAAAGCATGTGAAAACGTAGCAGCAGTGAGTCAAAGACGTATTTCATCAGTTTCATATAAATATTTTTACGTCCCCCAGAATTCTTTTACTCTCTATCACTTTACTTGTTAACTTTGTAGATCAGAGATCATTCGGCCTCTGGGTTGACTATAACAAATCAATTAATTCAGTTTTTCTTTACTTATTAAATCATTTCCATGCCCAGTAACAGGAGAAGGCCAGTATTTGTTCCCCCCTCATCACTTCTTATCAGATGCAACATAAACTGCTATGTATCTTGTAGAATGTAACAGAAATTATGTAAAATACACTACTTGATTATTGTTAAAAGGAAAACATAGCAAAAGTCTGAAATAATTTGAAGTTGAGCAGATAATATGGATACAGCAGGCAATAAAGCTGGATATCAGGGTTATTTAAGTGATTTTTTTATGCATTTGTTTGTGTGATAATAGTGCTTTAAAATACAGTTAACAACCAATTAATAAAAATCCTTACAGATTTAGATTTGAAATTATTTTCATTCAATAAGTCATATTTTTTCTATAGAAATGAGGCAGGCATTATTGTAAATATTTGAAAATAAAGTAATATGAGTTCCAACTAAATCTGTTCATAGACTTTTTAGCAATCAGTCAAAAATCCTAATTGAAATTACAGCAGTTTGTTCTTCTTACTGATTTTTTTTCTTTCTCTAATTCTACTGCTTTTTCAGTGATTTATCTTTGGCAATAAGCTTCAAATATACTGCGTGATATTGGAAGGCCTCCCCACCATCACCCTAATCCTTAGCTCCTTGCGCTTATTTTCTATTAAATAAAAGTAATAACTCTGATGTGCCTCTCTGACATCTTCCTATTACTCCCAGTGAAAAGAAACATTTTGGTAAAATGATTAGTTTAAATTGAAATATGTAAAAATTATTAATCGTTTTAGACTTAAGTATAAACCTTTATTGTTTGGATAAAATAAAAAAGGGAGAAAGTTTGGGGTTAAAACCATATAACACCGAATTGTTCTCAGCAAGAGAAATAAATATTTACAGCGGATCAGTATTAAGATACTTTGCCACAGATTTGTAATAAATTCCTATTGTGTACAAATTCAGAAGAGCCAAGATGACGGAAAGAAAGCGACAAATAAAAGGTGAATTCAGAGCTACTAACCTCTAATTAGGTTGGCTTTTTGGTGATCTTTGTTGGATGAAAAAATCCGGCTCTCGTCCTGCTTTCAGTCTCTGTTAGTTTATTATAAAGGAGATCTTCTCCTTCCCTGCAGGTTGCAACATGCTGTGGTTTTACAGCACAAGGAAGAGAGGTGTGTCTTTCTCCAAGACTGCAACACCCCCGAGCTTTCCTCACTGACAGTTCTCATATATGATCATTTTATCAAGCATTCTGCTTAAAACAAATATACTTTATCATACACAATAATGCATATTTATGTATGGTTGCCCAAATGTTGTCAAACTACATTCAGATTAGTGTTGCCCTGAAGGGAATCTTTTACTCAGCTTCTGTGTTGTGAAATGATACAAAGAGTAAGAGTGATTCAAGTGCTCACAAAACCTCCCTCCCTAATGGATGCTGAACGTGCAGAGACAAACATGATCAGTCCGAATGCTCACGCAAATAAAACTTACAAGTTGAAACATGTCAAATTGTAACAGGAATGCCATTTTCCACGTAAAGGCGGAGATCAAAAGGAGCACAAGTCCCTGCCAGAACCTCAAGAACAGAACAGGAAGTCTTCTGTCCTGAATTTTCTAGCATTTCTTTTTACTGGAAATGCCTGATCACTATCACTGGCCTCATCTCTGACATTCATGGTACCTGAATGAGGGATGGAATGGAACCAGTTTGTTTCACTGTGCCTGGAATCTGCTTGATTTACATCTGAATAATTTCACTGTTTGGTTGACATAAGCTGAATAGTTTTAGGATTATTAGTTGTTTCGGGTAATTTATCAAAATGCACTTTAATCACCTTGTGTTTGTTTTAAAGGTTTCATGGTATTAAAGGTATATTGTATAATTCCAGAGGATTATTTAGTGTTTTTCCTGTTTTATTTATGTTACCGTAGTCTGTTTTTATTTCTTGTGGGTTTCTAGTCGAGCTGCTTTCTATCACCTGTTTTCTGTTCTGTCATCCATTTCATTGGATTCCCTGTGGTCTGTCCTTCATGTTTTTCTTTTTTATTGTGTTTTTTTTGTAGGTCTGCATCAGGTCTCCTGGTGCCTCAGATCAATCTTCCACCTGTAGGGAGACTCATGTCGCCCAGAGATGTGCCCAATGTGGGTGGGGTCATTTGAAAACTTCAGGAGTTTGACAGAGTGGTGACCGGAGGTGCAGCTGTTAGTGTATATGGAGAACAGTAAAAGAGAAAAAAGCTTCAAAATGATCTGCTGCTAACGCTCCTGGACTCAGTCTGTGATCCACCTGTAGGTGTAGAAGCATGGAGATCCACCCTTCTGAGCACATTCCACATCAGACGCAAATCAAATATCCGTCCTTCATTCTTCTGGATTGTTGGAGTCTTTTATTTTATAAAACATACGGCTTCTGATTAAGCAAATCATTTGTTGAAACATGATTTTACCAAATGTTTTATTTATTTTAGCTGTTGGATTTGCATTGTGATTTGGTTTGAACACATTCCAATAGCTCTAAATTAATTAAAATCTAATTTTATTACATTATAAATTCCTCAAGATAAACTTTGGTTCTAAAATGCACCATCCATGCTAAACTGTGATTTCATTGCATCATTTTATTGATTAAGATATTCACCCATGTTTTTTTCCTTTCTTTATGAACATAATAGCTTAGTTTAGTTAAGTTTCACTAGTATAGTCAAGGGTTTATAACTGAAATATGTCTGACTTGGAGTTGAATGATTTTTAGTTAATTAACTCATATTTTGAATTGAAATGTTGGTGAATTTATTCCATATATATCCTAATTGCATAACAAAACCTTGCCGTAAGACTGTTGTGATCAACTGTATCAAATGCAGCACTAAGATCCAACGGAGCGGGGGGGAGGATATAAGTCAATCTGAGGCCCTAAGAACATCATTAGTGCTATGATGAGATCTAAAACCTGACAAAAACTGCTCAACAAGTCCATTATTGTATAACTGGCCACACACTTGTTTAGTAACTAAAAGTATATAAAAGTATTTAACTCTACTCTTTGAGATAGGTGGAGTCAGTGTGAGGACGTTAGAACAGGGGTGATGTGCTCCACTGTCTTAATTTTAGTGAAGCTGTGGGCAGCAGCATTCTGGATAAACTTTGTCTGCCTTATTGACCCGTTAGACAGAAAGAGAACCCTAACCCTAAACAGGGCAGGGCAGAACAGACTAGTGAAGTAACCATAAATTATGTTGTAATTCTTCTTTTCTTTTGATTAAAGGGATGAAGATAAACATTCAGAAATAAAAACATTTTGCCTAAAGGTGCAATACTGCATTGAAATGAGAGTTTGAAGAAAGATTTGTGTATGAGTTTGATAATTACAAAGTAATAAGGCTTATAACTGACAGAACTTCCCACCTTTGACCTTTATACCTACTTTTATTCTTATAGCAGATGCTATTTAAATGGCAAAGACTTCCTTTGACGTTGTTTTTTTAGGGCAGATTTCCTTTGCGTGTTGGGCTGCTGTTTCATTAACTTTGACTTGAGACATTAACACTTGAACATGTATTCTGTTGACAGTGGGTTCTCATAAGGCAGCAAGTTAACAGGGACAGAAAATGAGTCAGAACCAAAGTGGTCTATGTCAACAGAATTCTGTCTTTTTGTTTGCATTATCTTTATAGATACAACTAATCAAACTATACATTTTCTCTTTCTTACTGCCTAAGGATCCAGTGTATTAAAAGTTCTTTAAAAAGGGTCTTTGATAGGTTCAGAAAGAGTTAATGACCCTTTTTTATGCCTTATGGCGGAGGTCTTCAACAGGGGGTCCGCGGCCCTTAGGGGGTCCACAAAGGTACTGCATGGGGGTCGTGAAAGTTTTGTTTCATTAGACTTATTTTTTATATTCCCACTGCAATTTTATTTTCACGAATTGAAATGTCTTTAAATCCACATTAAAATGAATTCAACACACTGTAGTAAACAGATTAATGGAGGCAGAAGATGTCTTTCAGTCATCAATGCACACATTCCACGACAAACAGGAGCTCTTTCAAGCTGGGCACCGTTTCATTCACAACACCTGTCCCATCAACCAGGAATCACAATCAGAAATACTTTAATAATCCCAGGGAGAAATTACTTTAGTTACATGACTCCATCTGCAATAGATTGACTATAGGACCAGTTTGATATAACAGAAATTTCATAAAATATATATAATTAGTGGGTCCCCGCTCCATCTCACCATCAGTTTTTGGGGTCCTTGGCCTGAAAAACGTTGAAGACCCCTGCCATATTGGCAGTACTCGAGTTGAGGGGAAATGGCATCCCACTTTTAAAAAAACTTAAAAATCATCCCCCTTCTTAAATGACCCTCCCCCTCTACCATCCCCTGTGAAATGTTGTCACTAAATGTAAATGTAAATTTCTACTATATATTAACAGTAATGGGAATATATTGCCCTTTCAACATTTGACAGGCTGTGTGCTTACGAGTAGCCTGACTAAATTACAGTGGCCCAGAGGGAAAATGCTATTTCATTTTCGACCTCAGTGTCGCAACCAGAGGAGCAGATGACAATGTAACAAAGTAAAACCAAAGAAGTGGCCTGCTATGACTATGAAGCTGATCCTAGTGGGAAATGTGTCTTCTGCATTAGTCCCTAACTATTTAGGGGCAGTGATAGCCATGCCAGTCCAGGGACTGACTGCAGTTCTACTGTAAGGTGCCTCGGTCAAGGTCAATGACCGACGTACCTGACATGTAACAACCATACCATGCATAGTGCTGTAGGTAAATAGAATATATTAATAAGGCTATGTATGCTTCCAAAAAAAGAAATTCTACCATCCCCCTTCTTTTTTCTTTTTTTACTGCTTACGGGGGACCATGTTCAGGAACAATAGGCTCAACTATAAAACTTCAACAAAAAAAAAAGGACAAAGCAGTTAAAGTTTAATGGGTTGAAACCTATTTTAAAAACTTTTTAAAACAGGCAAACAGCCCTCTTCCACACTAAACTGACATCATTTTAAGTGAGTTATTATTAATTAATCATCATTTGTAGAATAATCTCCATGATTTAAACAAAACATTGTTGTAGGAGGATCATTTTACTCTGCTGTTGGACTCTCATCCTCCGGCGTCTGAAAAACCTCTTTTCACAAGACACTACTACAGAAAGATGCGATCCAGCCCCACTGTGCTTGGGGAAAAAGCAATCGAATCCCAAACTCTTTTTCTTGTGAGTCTTTCCTGGAGAGAGTTTCAAATTTGGGAGACACATTAATGTAAGGGCACAAGCTAAGGATAAAATCTCTAGACCAATCAAAGCCTAAGTGGACCTGGTGCCTACCTTCTGGGCCAGAGTGCTGATACATGCTGAGTACTGGAGAAATCTCAGCCCTTTAAAACAAAGATGAGCAGGGGTCAAAGGTCTGGCAAATTTATGGAAGAAGTTCTAGCTAATAGTTTGGGAGTTTTTTAAATGATTTTTGATCATTTCATGTGTTTACTGTGGTGTAAAAGACAAGTTAACAAAATGGGCTGCATGTTACACCATGCTGACATGCTTTGAGTTGTTGTTTATAAAGCTATATATATATGTCAATGTTTATGTGTTTCCTCATATGCTCTAATTTGATTTCCAAAATATGACCAAAGTGTCCTCTAAGATGAGTCCCCTTATGTCCCCTAGCAATTAGTTGAATTACTCTCGGTGGAGAGTCCTTGTCTCAAGTGGGGGAGTACAACTATATCTTGTTCACTACTGAGGGACGGATGGAGCGTGAGATTGATAGACGGATCGGTGCAGCATCGGCAGTGATGCGGTCGCTGTATCAGACTGTCGTGGTGAGGAGCTCAGAGTAGAGTAGTTGCTCCTCTACGTCGAAAGGAGCCAGCTGAGGTGGCTCGGGCATCTGTTTCAGATGCCTCCTGGTCGCCTCCTTAGGGAGGTGTACCAGGCATGTCCCATTGGGAGGAGGCCTTGGAAGGCCCAGGACACGCTGGAGGGACTAATGTCCCTGAGCTGGTCTGGTGTCGCCTCGGGGTCCCCCCAGAGCAGCTGGAGGAACTGTGCGTGGATCGAGAAAGTCTGGACATCTTTTCTTAGACTGCTTCCTCAGCGACCCGGCAGAAGAAAATGGATGGATGGACAAAAGAGAAAGAATCAATTAACAGAAAGTTATCAGTTTCTGATTAAGCAAATCATTTGGTAAAATATTATTTTACCAAATAAAGGTTTAATAACCTCTTGGAATTTCATCATGTATTGGTTTGAACACATTCTAATGGCTCTAAATCAGTTCAAAGCAAATTTGACCCAATTCCAAATTCTTCCAGATAAACTTTGGTTCTCAACATAAATCCATCCATTATAAACTGTGATATTATTGGATGATTTTATTGACTGCTTTTATTCCTAACAATTACTTCCTTCCATTTCTTTGTGTACATAGTGCCTTTGTTTAGTTGAGTTTCACTAGTTTAGTCAAGAGTTTTTAACTAAAATAGGTTTGACCTGGAGTTAAATCATTTTTTTTTAACAAATTCTTACATTCTGAATGGAAGTTGTGGTGAATTTATTCTATATATGTGCAAATTATTTGTTTGACCATGAATTAAGCTTGATTTGTTTCCTTTGTTGTCCTAACACACAGCCAAATGAAACAATCATTGCTCCAGTATCGGACTGTATAGGTGTTTTCAAAACTGCACAAAAAAAAAATAATTCCCTCCCAAATTACAACATCAGCGACGGCCTTTAATCCAACTAGTTTAACTGAAAGACCCATTAAATATAGAGAAAAATGGCCTCCGATGGTGCAGTTATGCAGGCCTCATTCATTAATTTACCACAATAACAGACGCAGGATCAATTCTTCCTTTGATCCAAATAAGATATGAAACAGGTAACCTTACCTGTATTTAGGTAAATGGACGAAGTGCACTTAGATGCTCCTCCCAAAGCAAATTCTTTTATTATAAATAGGAAGAAAGAATGGATGGTTCACTTTAATAACTGTTAAAAAATGTTGCACAATATTTAACCTTGTAACAAAAAGCAATCTTTATTTGAGAATCTGGATGAAAGTTGCACATTTTTCCGTGTTGGAGATTAATACATTTGTTTTTATTATCTTGCATATAGGTTTTGGAGGAACATAAAAGCACCATTCAAATTAGACCTAAGGATGTTATCGCTAACTTTGAATATAGAGATAAAACGATTAGCTATTAATTTATTGCTTGTCTTGAGCAGATTTCATATAGGCCTACAAAAAGAAAGGTCCTTCTGTTTTCTAAGTAGATTTTCATTTATATATAAATATATAAAGTTCACTACAAATTAGAAAGTTGAACTCACATTGATGAGTCTTCAAAATTGACTATTAATTCATGTTGAATGACAATAATCATGATATGCCTTTATCTTTTTTTCATACTCGCCATGTTTTATTTATTCTTCCTAATGTTATTTACTATGTTCATGAAGATGTTTTTATGTATTATATTCTGTTTGTTGCCAAATTCATAAATATATATTTGTTTCTAAGAACAAAAAAAGGGAAAAACTGAGCTGTTCCTTTGTTCTCCTGTTAAAGTCCTGTTTGATGTCTTATTTTGATGCTCGAAGGGTGTAACTTAGTGATGTAAGTTGGTGAGGACACTCAGGTGGTGGTGGATGGACCTACGGTTACTCCACCTGAACGCTTTCATCAGGAATTTGTATTTTCCAAAAACGTGGAGTCAAACATATATTTACTGAATGCTTTCCTGTTGTTGAGAACACAAGAGAACCACAATACACTGATATTTATATTTATAGATAGTTAGAGATGCCTTTTGGTGGGTTACATATATAGAGTCCAAAAACATTAATTTATGAAAAATATTATATATATATATATATATATATATATTATGCATTCCTAGTATGTATAATTTCAATCCCATCCATCCATCCATCCATCCATCAATCCATCATCCATAAAAATATAGATATGCTTCATTTTAAATATAGTATTATTTTTTTCTTGTAAACTTTCTGATATATTTTATTGCGTGTTGCATATCCCAGTAAATGTGTTTCACCTTTAAATGTGCAGCTCTCCCTGCTTCTCTCTGTCCTCTGTTTAAAAAGATATATGAACTTCTTTACCAATATAATGATGCCAGAAACAAAATTTCAAGATGTACAGAAGCTTTGCAGTCTGATTCTGTCTGTTCAGTAAGAAAACATGTTCTTTTTAACCTGTAACTGGGAGTCATGGTCCTTTGAGAATCCAAGCTATTTTTTTCTAGTAAAAAAGAAAACATTTAAACTATATTTTCTCAAGCTTCCTGCATTATAATACTAACTTGTATAAACTTATAATCTGTTGCCCTTTTTAGCTGAAAAAGCTCTGTATGTCTAACGAACTGATTTTTCGGTGGCATCTTTAATTGTTTTACCAAACCGGTCTCCTAACTTTTACTTAAACATATATAGAAGTAGCTGCTGGTTAAATTCACTGAGTGCTGCTGTGTGTCTCTCCTCCAACAACATAGATACTATGTACGTCAGTGAATTGTGACCGCAAATCAGATGTAACCCTGATAGGCGGAACACGGGAGGAGCAGGAGAGAGGAAAAAAAACACACAGACTGAACACGCTCCTCACATGGAGAGCTGCACCCAACCTCTGTTATGTTTGGCTAAAGGAAATGAGCGGAAAGGAAATAAAAAAAGAAGATAATTATTGGAGGGTACTGTCCCCACCAGGCCAAAGTTGGTGGGGACATGTCCACCCAAATCCTTCAGATAGTTACGCCTGTGGCTCAATGTGCCAGCTGTTCATAAGTAGGCTTCTTTCATTGATATCTGCTGCAGCTTCCTGGGGATGTGAGGTATGATCAGGTCCCGTAGATTGGTAAAAAGCTTTGCAGACCTTTACAGAGACTGCTGGATCCTGGAGGCTTTTTGTTATTAATTCAAAGACATGCAGCTGTCACAGCACAGGCACACAGTCTGGATAGAGAGGCAGGAATATTGAAATGTTGGGGGTCAGAAAAATGTAGGAAGTAAAGCAGAATCAAATAATAGCTGTCAAAAACAAGTACAGCTGCCTGACAACCTCTCTGCTCCACCTACTTAGGTCAATGTGCACCTTTCAAAACTTGCACACACCTGCACACGTGTGCCACCGCCCATGTAGTTACCCACGCTGTCCACACGAGGGCAGCAGACACAAACACCCATTTGATGTTTCATACCATCCTAGTGGGGACTTTCTATTGATTTTCATTCATATTGCATTTAATTCTACAGCTTAACTTTGACCATTACCCTCACCAACACATAACTAACCCTAACACTAACCCCTCCTCCATGAGATTAACTTCTCATGGAGATAATTAGTCCCCAAAAGCACCGATATGCCCCCAGAGGTGTCAAGTAAAGTAAAAATATTTCATTACTTTACGCGAGTAGAAATTTTGGCTATATATACTTTAATTGAGTCATTTTTTTAGACATATTTTACTTATACTCTCTACATTGCTTCTTTTTTATTTTGTACGGTATATCTACTTTCTAATATATATATAGTTTTTATATATTTTATATAAAGGCTTGTTAGTTTTGTTTTATTTAAACTAATTTTCATTATGGCTTGTTGGTATTTAAAAGAAAAAAGTAAATCATATCACTTTGTTTCATCCAGACAATTTCTCTGTAATTGAACTCGGTGCTGCACCAACTTGTTCACCACATACCAAGATAAATAGCTTTTCAAGATGTTGCAAAGTTAAATTTGACACTGTTACCATTAGTTATACAACTTAGAAACTGAAGTATAAGGAAGTTATTGTGCAGATTTGTAGAACAATCTTCTTTACATAGGGTAGAGCAGTAAAGCTTCTGCCTTAGCATTTTTTCATGCATTAATTTTTTTTATATATTCTAAGTAGTTATAAAAAATGATTTGAGTAAAAAGCTTAAGTTGATACTCTAACTCCAAGTGTTTTAAACCATAGAATTCATACTTTTAATAGTTTAATAAACAATATTGTCGACACCTCTGTAAGCCTTCAAAATGCAGCCATATTTCTAGGAAATTGTCCCCACAGAATGACAAAAACATGGCCACACACACTCTGCTCACCTTCACGTCTTCAATAGTGACTATCTCAAATAGTTCACTATGAGAATCCCTCAATTTGTTTAGAAATGATCTCAAAGCTGAAGATTTGTTTTTCTTTGGATAATTTAGATTGTTTACCAAATATTATATACTTTGTTACTGTTTTTACTCTGTATGCTTGTCAATCCTAATCTTGTTAGATGATAATAGTTCAGGCACTATAAAGTGAAAAATCAGGAATTAATACATTAATACACGTATAAATTAATGTTAAATCATTTACATATATAATATTTAATTAGTTTTTTAGCTGATCTGAAAATATGTTGCATAATTGACTTTGTTTACAATCTATATTTTGACTTTTTTCCTCTCCTATGTTCTTTATTTATCGGTTTTTATCAGTCTCCTATTAAAACCATAAACGGTAAAAAGGAAGTTTTGAGTTTGTTTCATCAGCTTCTTCTAAGGCAGAAGTAACGATAAGAAAACATCCAAAACAGAAGCAGATTTTTATACATAGCAATGTTTTAATCAGGACATTTACAAACCCAGTAGTGTCATAACAGGTTGTATTTCCATTATTATGGGGGTGCTGCGTCCCACCATGTGACCAAACCTCAGCAGCAGCTTCTCATTCAGCTGCTTCTGACGTACGTCTGATCCGTGTTCAGTGCATAGCTAAATCCTCTGACCGTAGCCTTTTATTGTGCAGTCAGAGATGGGCTGATGGCCGGGTTATTTCTGGACCTCTCTCCATTGTTACAGATGAAAACTGTGGGGCAAAGAGATCCTGTTGCAATAAACAAACAACCAGAGCCACAAAGTGCTAGCATCAGGGTGTTGATGTGTTACCAAACAGTGAATCTGCAGGAGTTCCACACGTTTCATGAGACAATATGGTGTTTTTGAATAAGCCCCTCTTTTTCTGGAAAGAACACAATGGGTATAACCCTTTATCTGATCAATAAACTAAATCCTACTCTGGATAGGGTTTTTTTTTTACCTGCAGGGCCTCACTGCATAATAAAAAACAAAACACTGGGAATCACACAGTATTTAAACACTATAAAGATCATCACTGTAACCACAGCAACGCCATCCAGGAATCAGGTTTTTCACATCAAATCAAAACCTTGGGATGGGAAATAACCGTCGGGAATGGATCTTGTTTAGTTACTTGCAGCTTTATATCGTTAGCTTATTACAAGCTTGTGCAAATTTTACTTTTTAAACCAAAAAATATCAAATTATTTATGATCCGTCTTAATAACTTTAACACATTATTAAAACTAGGAATTAGTCATCTGAAAAACAGCTACGTTTCATTTAATAAGACCTAAAATAAATTAAGCTTCTCTTAAGAAGGCACGGTTTAAACCTGCGTTAAGCCGCGACTGATTTCAACCCAAGAGTAAACATGAGGTTAAATGAACAGAGAACAACTGAGCTCATCTCTCCTTCAGAAAATGCTGTTAAAATTAATAATGGAGGAGATTTGAAAAACTTTAACAAATTATTCCAAATATCTTAAGGGCAGCAGGGATTTTGCAGCTCCTCCTGTTGTTTCTACACACTTTGTCATGAACAGTGTCTGCGGTCGGGTTCCACTCCTGCCCGACCGTTTCGCCCGCCAAAGTCCTCCCTGCTGCTCAAACACACAGAGTGACCATTTGGCTTCAGATCTTGTGATGGGCCGAAGCAGCCCCTCATCACATGACGGAGCACTGCTCGGCGGCGCCGGCCCCGCCCACTCCTGGGAGGTTGAGGGAGTCCATGTCGAAGTTGAAGCCTGGAGGCTGGGAGGGAAGCAGAAAGAGGAACAATGAGGAAGCAGAATACATGTTTACCTTTTAACTTTGTCATCACCCACATTTTCCATCTTGAAAACCCTTCAGAGCTCTTAGTAGGGATACTGCTGAAAACCTGGGACTTATTTCTGCTCAATGACGTTCTTTGTTTATTAAATAAAGTGCCTTGAAATAAACAGAACGCTTCAAATTTTGTCTCAACAATCTCAGTTAACTAAATTCATGTATTATAATATAATTATATTATTATAATATAATACATGATCGATTAAAACAAAGGAGCGCACACCTATGGAAAAAAAAGCAGAAAAGGTTTGCAGTATTACACCTATAAACCCCCACCCCAGTGCTAGGGTCCTTTATAGTTCTAGGAACATTTTACACATAGAATGGGATGCATTAGTTTTTAACTTCTTTTAATATTTTAATATCATCAATAAAATGGATTGCAAAAAGTCGTGGGAAGACATCTAACTTATAAATAGAGTCCATCTATGTAGGATTATTCTCCAAAACAGGCTTATTTGGTTGCTCTATATGTCAGTTGGCTATATTTCAGTCAATTGTTTGATCTTAATAAAAAATACAAATGTCATAAGTGGGTTTAAAAATCTTATATCTGATTTTTTCCTACCAAATCTGATTAACTGATTTCTTCCTCCTTAATGATAGAGTGGAGGATTTTCGTGAATTTCTGGAAAAAACGTTCCACTTTAAAAATAAATGCACATGCATAACACTGTACCTGCTTCCGAAAGGGAAAATCTATCAAATGTGTGCAAGAGCCCTTTTCTCCTCGTGCACGCTCTGTTTAAAAGTTGCTGTTTGCATCGCTCATACAAGCTTACTTTCCTAAAGAAGATTTGCAATTTTTCCACCATGTCAGCCTCACCACCGGTAAGTAAAAATGGGGACGAGCACGTAGGACGGCCTTACGTAAACAAATCACCAGAATGATCCACCCAGAAAAATTACATCCTTCACGATACCTTTAAGTTTCATAATTGAAAAATGACATAAATTCCTTTTAAAAACTAGCTTTACCTTCAACTTTGACTTTCATAAAGGACTTAATGCGTTTAAATCAAAGATCCAGGTGCTAAAGCAATGGAAATAAAAAATTATTTCCCATAATTTCTTAGAAAATCTGATAGGAAAAGAATATTTTTTAAAGATTCTGTCTGAGGGTTTTCCTTGTTCAACCTTAATCTAGGACTGAAACATTGCCCATTAATCATTGGATTAATCATGATTAATCGATTATTGATATAATAGTCTAATTTAGTAATCGATTAATCGTTAAAGGGGAGTGCTTTTTTTTTTTTTTTTTTCCATTGGCCCCTTGATTTCACGTTGTTACATCATGTTCTACTCACCTATATGAGTTTTGTGTCATTTGGAGCCGTTCTGAAGATATTCCGTTAAATAGATATTCCGAGTAAAACTAGCAGCAGTTCAGCAGACAGGATGAATGAATAGTAGCTGGCGCGTGCGGATGACGTCATACACGAGCCGCTTTGTTTTTAAAACATATAAACATAAAAAATATAACTGTGGATGTCTGGGGGACAAAGATTCGCCTAAATGTTATGAATGCTGGCGTACCATAGATGATAAATTATGAACAGTTTAGTTTGTGCCTTCAAGTTGTTGCCCATAGGAAGACGTTACTTGGATATAACCGAATATCTTCATAACAGCTCCAAATGACACAAAACTCATATGGGTGAGTAGAACATGATGGAATAACGTAAAATCAAGGGCCCAATGTAAAAACAAAAACAAAATGGCGTTTCCCTTTAACTGGAGACCCTAAAAAACGTCTTTAGCTAACAGAGATACTCACTTAGAGCAGTAATTATACCAAGATTGTAAAAAAAATATATATAAACCTTTTGCATTTAAGATAAAAAAGATATTTTCACCTATCAGTATGCTCTATCCAGAACTCCTCAACTGAAAATGTTTTAGTTTTAATTTAGTAAAAAATTTTTATGGAAAAGTTTGTTATCTGATTATTAATTAAAAAAAATTATGACAGATTAATCAATTTGCAAATAATCGTTTGTTGCAGCCCGACTTTAATCAGAATATATTATTAACAGCTACTCTATAAACCCTCGACGCAACTCTATTCCAGACATTTTGAATTGAAGAAGCTTCCTGGATGGGAAGCGAAACGTCTTCAAACCTGGAAACAAAGTCCAGTGGATTGTTTTTAATTTCCTTTTTTTGGAATGACCATGACCTGGATGACTGAGAATATTCACCAGCATTATTAACAGCGACTGTAAGGTTAGTTCAGAAAAAACATGGTGCAGAACTTCAATATCGGTGCGTTTTGTACCATGGTTTTTTTTTTTTCTCCCTCAATCTTTGCATTCCATCACTCCTGCACTTAATGAAATGGTCATGTTCATTTCACTGCTAAGCTGCTGCTCATTTACTGTCTGAAAGCTGTA